GGCTCGGAGAGTTTCGAAATGATTTGATGTTTGCGGTCGAGTTATTATGAGCTCTGATTTTTTAGTGCCATCCAAATTGAGCATAACACGATCTTTGGAGGATCAAACTGGTACACATTGCCACATTACATGAGAGAGTACGTAAGATGGCTCAGTCTGAGATGGAGAAAGTCGTGGATGGTTTGTACACATTTGTATTTCCTAATGATCGCGAACTTGCATAATTTTGCAGTTGAGATCATATCAGCTGAGTTGACAATGTACGTGTATGACTCCCATTACCACAAAAAGACAATTTGAGTGTATATTGGAGCCGATGGCGACCATCGTTCCCATGATGACTAGAGAGTAGACGATGTAATACAAGATAGACTAGCTCTCTTAAGGAAGATGACAACTATAAGACAAACAAAATTGTAAACTTTTTGTTAAATTTTGTTAAATGTATTGCAAATTGGATTGACATATTATTATTTGCATATAGGGGTGATTGTGGAGTCTTTGCAATCAATTACATTAAATTTTTTAGCATCAAACATGGTGCAAAGTTGTTAAACTAAACACACATTGATGATTAAAGGATGAAGTTAGCATTCGACTTGTATGCATATAATTGTTGTCCATAGTATATTGTACTAAAATTTTTAAAATGTAAGTATTGTTTATGTAATTGTTAATAAATTTAGTTGAAATAATTAGTTGGAAAATGGCCTTAAAAATATTTAAATGTGACTATTTTTAATATAATTGCATATTTAATTGTAAAATATATTTAATTGACTTCAAAAGAAAGCGACCATCAAAGTATGGGGACCTAATTTCAACTTTTTAATAGTTAATGAAAAAATCAAAAAACGATGATCAGAGAATATATAGCCTCAATTGTATGCACTTAGAACATGAAGAATACACCGGGACGACGTTATGTAGAAAGATGACGGAAATCGAAGTATGATAATTGATGAAAAAATAAAAAACAATGATCAGATAATATATAGATTCAATTGTATATACTTAGAACATGAAGGATCCATTGGGATGACATTCTGTCGAAAAATGGCGAAAATAAAAAAAGAGAGGACCTAATTGCAATTTTTAATAGTTGATTAAAAAAAGTCAAAAACGATGATTGAAGAATATATAGACCCAAATATATACACTCAAAAAAATGAAGGATCCATTCAAAAAATGAAAAAATCAGTAAAGTATTATAAATAGAGATTGCACGTGATTTAAATAGAAATTACACATCCATCGGATTATTATATAGTGGGATCTGACATGTACAAAATTGGTGAGTATGACTTGTTGTGTCGCATCATCCTCACCTATACGGTCGAAAAACTTTCTGATAGATGGTATTCTAGACGTACCAAGAGTACACGATCAAACTTCGGGTGACAACAAATTATTAAGTGAAAGAATGTATTCGAGAACTTCTCATTTGACTTCATCTGGAAGAGGAATAATTTTGACATATGCTGCTCTCCAATAACCAACCATGTAATAATGAGTGCATAAGCTCTATGATGGAAATCCTTTATATATAGCCACTGTGACTGCATGCACATATGGAAACTCTCCAATTGAAATTGTCTGCACGTATAAGTATTATTATTCAAGTCCATGATGTGTTAGAAATTACATCTGCATCTCACGAAGAAGCAAAATTGATCCAATGGTTTCACATTAAGTTTTTACGTCACCTCTAGAGTTTTATAGAGTTTATGAAGGCAGAGGTTAGCACTTGTGTAAATCTTTGATTCCTCACGTCAATCATAAAATCACTGCTGCAACTTGTTATGAATATATTCAATCATTGCAAAAATTGGTGACTCTCGATCATTCTTGAATAATGTATTGAGCAACNACTGCTGCAACTTGTTATGAATATATTCAATCATTGCAAAAATTGGTGACTCTCGATCATTCTTGAATAATGTATTGAGCAACTCCTCATTATTCGACGTTTTCATGTTATATTGACGTTCTGAAAAATGTGACAATGCCCAAAGTTCAATCCCCATATTTGTTATATAATCTCATGCATCGCGTAAATTATTTTTTATTTCGAACATGAACTTATCAAACTCTTCAAAATTGTAAGCCTCTACAGCTCTATTAAACAATGCAACAATGCCACTTTCTAAATACTTAATCCTCAAGTTGTGTAGCATATGGTACATGCAATAACCATGAAGTGCACGCCGAAAACTTGAACGATACTATTTATTATTGACTACCCTCGGTTAGTGACAAATGCAAATTGCTCGACGTTCTCAATTACTTTCCTCAATTTCATAAAGAACTAACGCATTACTAGATCATTCTCGCCATCGACTGTGCCAAATACAAGTGGTTAAATTTCAAATGTTGGTGTCTTGACATGTAGCAATAATCAATTTCCCTTCGTAATTAGTTTTCTGGGATGTACCATCGACTAGAATTAGGCGTCATATAATTTCAAATTCCTCTAATGCATTGTTCAAAAGCTATAAAGAAATATTTGAAATAATTCTTACCGTTGGTCTCAATAAAAAATGCTGAGTCAAGATTAGTCTCCACATATTATGGTAATACTTGGTCAATTTAGCATAACTTTCTTTAGTCAAACTATTAAATTCTTTAATGCACATTCTTTAGCTTTCTAAGCCTTCTAGTAGCTCAAAACCACCACATACTCCCGACAGATGTCATTAATGATGTCTGCAAATCTGTAAATTGTCCATAGGTCCTAAAATTTGTATATTATTTGTCGATCAATAAATCAGATCAAACTTTCTAGTGATCATTTTACAAATACCTACTTCACAAGTATGTTCCCGTGCATACTAGCAAACTACAAAGAATTCAGTCATGACCATCTTCGTCGCTTGCAAACATCAACTGTAATTATTGTCCACAAAAATAATTGTGCATGTGGACTTGTTTAATTTTTTTACTTTAAACTTGTTAACCCCAAAAAATGTCGTCAACATATTCCTGGCCTTGTCCTCTCCATACCTGTACATGAAACACCCTGTTAGGAGGCAAAGGCCTTTAGTCGAGAAAAAGGTCCGAGGACGGTTTGCACTCCAACAGTAAAGTCAATGATCGGACGAAATATAAGAAGAGTCGAGATAGGAGAATTGGCTAAGATTGTGAAAACATACGTTAAATGTATAATGAAGCCCCATATATATAGAAAATGAAGATGGGCCAAGTGTGTTAATGGGCCTTGTCCAAGTCCAACAAGAAGGCCCAATATGCAATAATTTTATAGGCATAACAAAACTTTATGTTTCATAGCAATCCGATGTACAGTTTCCTCCAAATCTCTCTTAGTATCAAACAATTGAACATATAAATCTTCATCATCGTGAACCACATGCGAACAATTAGAAAACCGTGTACTTGGCCCAGCAAGTGAATTCCCACTCCACTCATGTTTTTGATTGGATAAAGCAATCAAATCTTGATTTGTAAATTATCTTCCATCCTTTTTGTTTTGAACTACCACGTGAATTCTGCAGTAAGATCATGGTGAGTAATAAGTATCTCAGGAATAACCACATCATCCTCACGAGCTACCCTATATCCCAAATATAATTTACTTTACGATCTCCCCCATTGAAATCCTCGTGCTCACTCTCGAGTATTATTCCTCAATAAAATTAAACAAACAGGAGTCAAATTGCGACCTTGGTCTAATTCAATTAGCAACTTCATTTTCTTTTCAGAAGTAACTTTTACAGATGGAATCGAAATGGTTGAATGATCGTTAAATAATCTCAATTCCATATCATAATTAAAGGGATCAATGTTGAGTAGGTTTTAAATATCATGGCATATTTTTGCAAATAATGTACTCGATGTAATCACAATTTCAGTATTTCTATCTACTTCACTCATTCATTTCCATTCTCATCTGTCATTTTCATTCCTTCTAAATTCGTCAAAATAACAAATCGATAGATCATATGCTGATGCCATATTTGCATTACAAATCAAAATATTAGAAAAAAAATTAGATTAACCATAAGCAATTAATTAATAAGGGTAGAAAGAGGAGGGAAAAAGGTCTTGTCGTTCGTTACGGCTAGACCGTTTGGCCACAAAATTATTATTTTTTCATTTTCTATAAAATTATCTACATATGCTATAGCATTTGTCGAAATAAAATTTAATGATTTAAAAAAAATACTAATTTAATGAAAAATGAAATTAAATATACTTAAATATATTTATCAATTCAAAATGTTGGATATAAACGAAATTTTTTTATTGAGCATTTGATGAGTTTATGAAATTTTGAAATTGAAGCGGATAAAAAATAAAAGAATTTTTATCTGTGTTAAAGTAAACAGATAAAGAAAGTGACTTGGTTTTAAAACTTTAAATGAAAATTGTTTAGTTTTTCCTTTGTAACTTAAACGGTATTGTCGTCTTTTAAAAAAATAGATATTTTTGTCACTGTATAAAATACTTAACTGTATTCTTGTCTTTTAATCAATAAAAAGCCATTGTGGTGAATGACAAATATTTTTGACCTGTGTGAAAAAGTGATTATTTGACGTGGCCATCATTAGTAGTACCCCATTTGACACCATAGAAAAGTAATTATCAACATAGCACATAATCCATTACTATATAACATGACATACGAAGATTGACAAACTTTATTAGAGAAAAGTTGTAGTGTTATTTGTATGTTCCATGTACGAAGAAACAATTAGCAAATATTCTTCCAAAATGTTTTATAAAAACCTTCAACAACGTTTCTGAGAAGTGTGTAGACAAGCTGACATACTATATCTTTGAGCTTACTTTTTATGCATTCCCTCAGTACTATTACAGTATACAACTCCAATTGCAGCCAAAGCATTATTCATATTCTACTACACGACTTGAGTTTTATACAAGTGAATTTCACAAGAAGAATAATTGCCTAAGATTTTCAAAAGAACACACCACAGTTACTGTCAAACTAAGCTACTTCACGATCATCACAAAAACAAATCCACAAAACAAGAACATTATGTTTAATCTAAAAATAAATAACGGGATGTTGTTAATGGTGATTAATGTACAACGTACCATCTAAGTTAAGAAAACACTAGTCCGCCAAAAGGTTAAACATCTGTATATGTAGAACAGAAGTTACATAAGAAACAACTGATGATCACACAATCACCTTACAGAGGGTAAGATCATAGTAGTAAGAGTAGAAGACTGGACATCCAAACTCTAGTCAACTGTATTGAACATCGACACAAGCATGTCACGAGATATTTAAGCCCACCATGGCTTCTCCATCAACTCTTTCGAAAACAAATATCGAAACTTAGAATTGTAAGGCAGCCATTTGATGATCAGAGATGCCCTTTTATTTGGTCTGAGATCAAGGCACTTCTGTATTGTATCATGAAGCTTCTTGTCAACATTTTCAGTAACCCAATTTAGAAGATCATCACTAGGAATGTAGGCTTCCTTCATGTACCTCTCTATAAGTTTAGGTAAAAATACTTTCTTCGACTTTTTGACGACCACATTTGCTTGAACAAACTCTCTCTTTGCCGCTTCAAGTTCCTCTTCAACATTTGAGGCTGTGTACACATTTAGCTACAAAAACAAGAGATTTGGTCATCGCAACTAGACATGATTACATCGAAGCTTCAGATATATGTTTGGAAGCTGCATAGAGAAAGACTGATGTAAAGTTGAGCAAGTACATCATTATGTAAAGCTACCATCTTTTACCTTTTGAAGAAGAGATTTTGATAGGAATGATCCCCTAAAGCTAGCATGTGCAATAAAATAGATAATGAACAAGATTCATTACTATTTATATAATTTTGTGGACGTATTTTATTCCATGATTTGGGGTGTACAGAGAAAGACTCGTACACACAAGGTGACAGAATGTGGGGAAGCTCTCAATTTCTGGTCATCATGTAGATTCCTTTAGTCAATAGCTCAATAACTTGTAAGTCAAAGCACATCTACCCTTATGGGATAGACTATAGAGTGACTATGATGTTAACTAAATGAGAATTTGTATTTGATGCACTAGCGCATTTTATGAGATGGAAGCAATAAACAAGATGTAGAGAGAATTTTTCTGGAAAATGCAATCACCGCACTTGATTTTCTTCGAACAACTTGTTATGTATGTCCTTAGAAAGCAATAGACTCAGATTATATAATTAATTACCATGAGAAAATAAGTGAGATTATGTTGCATGTCAATATATTCGAAAACTTGAGAAATTAGTTTATACAATTATATGAAGCCCCTGTTTGAGCTCCATTATAATTAGTTTTTTGGGAAAATATATTTTAGTAATAGTGATTTTTTGAAGAATACGTAATTAAAAAAGAAAAGGAAAAGTTTTAGGTTTTTGTGTATTATTATTTTATTGAAAGTATATTGTTGAAAAGAAAGAGAGAAAAATGTATTTTGAAATTAATAGAGCCCAATAGGGGCGAAATATATAGTCAATATAGACATCTTGATGCACACGAGCATTGTCCACACAATTCACATATCTGAAGAAGAGCAGGTCATGGAAGGATTAAAACTGATGGGCTTGACTGGAGCTTAATTGATGGAGCAACATTTTATTGATTTCATGACTCTATTCACACATAATAAGGAGAGCAGATCATGGGGATAGGACTCAGCTGGAGCTTGATTGCTGGCATAATATTATTTGATTGCGGTTTTTTATTGCAAGTTTTCATTTATAGCTTTAGTGATTTCATGACTCTATTCACACATAATAAGGAGAGCAGATCATGGGGATAGGACTCAGCTGGAGCTTGATTGCTGGCATAATATTATTTGATTGCAGTTTTTTATTGCAAGTTTTCATTTATAGCTTTAGTTTTTGTTTGGGTTTGTTCTTTTTCCTTTTTTTTTTTGTTGGGGGGGGGGGGGGGGGGGGGGGGTTATGATTAAGCATTGTTAGGGGGAATGCCGGTGGCTTTCTTAACTGCATCAATTTGTGAAATGTGGAGATTTCTACTTCTCTCTCAATTGGAAATCACATTCAATTTCAAATCAACATTTCGTAGATATTTTGTTTTCATATTATTTTGCTGCAGCACATCTTTTTTGAACTAATTCTATAGGTCATCAACAATTATGTACACAGTATTATAACACAATCAGTCTAATTTGGATATATAATTGCCACATTTATTTGATGTCATATTTCAAATTTAGACATGTTATGCTGATCACGTATTTCATGGGTAATAACTCTCTTAATGTCGGAATGTCAGGATATAATCTAACAGGTTGATAGTATTAATTCCTCTGAATGATAGATTTCATAATTTATCCTCACAGGTGTACAAGCATATCTTTTCCTAACTTCCACGCATAGCACTAGTCTAGTTATTACTACCTCCAAAACCACGAATTATTAGAAATCTTTATTAACACTGAGGTGGTCAGTTTGTTACTGTACCTTCCCAAAACATAAACTTCGCAATGAGAAGCTAGAAAGAGAATTTTTAGGTAACTACAGACAATAGAAAGGAAATATAAATATGATATATCAGAAATCGGAAGCAAGAGATTTACCAAGGGGTCAGAATGAGCTCCAGTACACAGGGCAAAGCAAACAAGTGGTTGACAATTTGGAAGGCCAAATTTTGAACTGACTAGTTTTCTTTCTTCTCCAGATCTTTTCCTCATAGCAGTTGACAACACGGTCTCTAGCCACTGCAATTGACATGAAAAAAAAAACATGCAAAAATGAAAATAAAGGATCATTTACTTTTATTTCAATGTCATATAGATAGGCGATGCAACAATGTACCAGTATGAACGCTACTTAGTATTGTCACATGCAACTCTTTGACACTGTAAAATCCTAAAGAAGCTATTTTCCTTCACTTCTATACAGAGAAAGTACAACTTGCAATTACTACTACAATATAAATAAAAAATAGGTCATGCTTAGAAGGGCTTGCCATAGGAGCAATCTTCATTGTCGAACTATATAATTATTCATTTTCTCTGTTCCACATGGAATACCTGCTTACATGATCCATTATCCTACTTTTAAGTCCTGAAATAAGCATGTAAAGTCAATATTTCAACAGTTACAATTTTAACTGCCAACTATCGAGGCATGCACATAATTACTAAGAATATAATTAAGCTAGATTGTTGTAAATGCTTTAATGAATCAGTGTCCTTGCCAAGGAAGATTATAGTGATACCTGTCCTATTCGAGGGGTACGAAAGCAAAATATTGACTGCTCAATGGTACTGGCACTTATGACATGGCCACCAACATTGTAAGCAGCCTGCAACACAGAGATACACCAGCAATTATTTATGGAATCAAAATATATCTAAATATTTATTTATGGATGACATGGTTAGAGTTCATAAGATTAGCATGGGAATAAAGCATGAGTTAGAACTTTGGAGTACTCTGGAATATAAAAATTTTAGGATAAGCTTCTTACAACCACCCAGAGTACATAAAATGTCCTTTTAGTAATAGTAGGGTTGAACCATCCCATCTAAAAGTTTCAACTAAAAGAAAGGAAGCAAATTACTTTTCACAGCTTTCATGGTGGCAATGAGACTTGAATTCCAGACATTTATTGCTCAGATACCAGAACTACCTCATAAAAAAAATCTTGAGTTCGTTTTAGAAGGGACACAGATTTAATTTAATTTTGTCTCCACCACGTCTCAATGTGCAAGTCGGATACTTTTTTAACAAATACCTTACATACACAAATTTCATAATGGAGGGGACGGACTTGAACTCAGGACGTGCCTGTTTGGATACCATTTCAAACTACTCCATCTAAAAGCTTAAGATGTTAGAAATGGACACAGTTTTAACAGGTACAAATAAACATAATAATGAAATCAATATATGATAATCGTAACAGAAATGAGATCACTATGATGGATTTTTATAAATACTGAAAATGGATAAGACAAAAACTAAGAATATACGCTAAGAAACTGAGGTGGCATCGGTTGAGCATAATTAAGATAACAACTTAAGTGGTCAGAGTATGTATTGTTTAGACCTAAAGCCCTTCTCCCTAAAAGTGCTGCGATCTTCATAAGACACTAGAATGAGTTAATAGAGAGAGGACACTAGAATGAGTTAATAGAGAGAGGGTTAGACCCAAATAATATGGTTTGTGGTTGACGGTAGAGGAGCCAGGATTTTTGGTTTGGGGGCACTATGGCGATCAACAGCACAACTATGGTCAGAGAGCAGCATTTGAAGCTACCTATTTTATTCAAAAACTTAGTTAAGAAAATATAGAAGTAATCGACTAACCTTGCATAGAAATACAAATAAGATAGTGAAGAATATAGAGAAAAGCAATCAACATTTTATTTAAATTTCAAGATTAGATTACATGATACTCGAATCAAAAACAATTACAGACTGAAAGATTATAAGGGTTGTTTTATCCTAAAGAAGTGTTTTTTTATGGGCATTATTGGTTTTGTGGAGCAATTTGCCTTTTTTGCCATGATCGAAGTCGTTGATTGATATTTTCAGATTTACCCCTCTATAAAGGTGATGAATGTAATTTACTTAGTCGATTCAGTGGTAGAGATTGTGGTTTTATCTTAAATTTTAGTAGAATGACAGATTTATTGCATGAAAGCAAGAAATCTGAGGGGGGGGGGGGGATGGAGAGAGGTTGATGGAATCATGTAAAAAGGACTGAGCAATGCAAATGGAAATGAATTTTCATTGATGCTAAAGACTGGGGACTGACTGTGCAAATTTCTCTAATGGAAAATAAATAGTGTAGATGCTGGGATTCTAACCAAGGTGTCTGCAACCACAAAGCACAACATTAACCACTAAACTGCAAACAATTTTTAGTTTTTGTTATATGTTTTTAAAATTTTGAAAAATAAAACAGATGGCGCGGCCCCCTTCCCTCCACCCCTGGTGATTAAGGATATAGCTGCATTGGACCTTTAGTAGGCATAGCGATTAATCAGATCATGTAGCCGATCCCAAAATTATTGGGAATATTTTCTTGTTGCTCATTCTGGATCCTTCAATTATCATTCTTTTTAGAAATTTTCATCTTTTATCTCTAAGGTTTGATTTTCTTATCCACTCCTTTCCATGCCTGCATTCACATGACCCCTCCCGGCCCCGCCATCAAAACCATGAGTCTTTACTTTCACTTAAGTGGGCAAGGGTTAACTCCATAATCCATGCACAGATCTAGACATTGTACATCTACATACGCACTTGCTCACAGATGTATGAGAATTCAAATTTCATTTGCTTTTACCACTGCCACCATCAAATGTTGGCAAAATTAAGAATAGTTACTGGAATGATAATTAATTACACAGAGATATGAGCCTGGCATTACAGTTACCAAAAGAACTGAACAATCTTATACCCAAACTTCCGCAGAGGATGGCTAGAAAGGCCATACAGAAGATACGGCCTCTAAAGCAGTTTTGCGACATATTAAGAAGTTAACAGAATAAAGCAGTAAAATAAAACCAGATTCAACGTGGAAAGCCTTTAAATAAGAAAAAAAATATATCAAAATACTCTTCAAATCAGTATCTGCTCGGATAGGTTTTGTTCTCTATAAAGCCACCCAGTATTCTGTGAAGAAGGAAATATTCATAAGGGCCAAAATGCTGCTTCTCACCCAATGAACAATATTTTCAGGAATAGTTAAAACTTACATATAGACATTTTTGTAAAGGCTATCATTTCTTTCTTGAAATGTGCAGTAAATATATACTTCAAGAATGAGAGTCAAATTTATTTTCCTATCTTGTGCTCAAATAGTATGAAATATATCTCACGGTCAGTGCAAAGTAGAAAATCCAAAGCGACCTATGCTACATATAAAAGTTTAGACAATAATATCCACACCTTGTGAAACAATGCTAACCTTCTGAGCGAGTTGTGTGGTATCCCAAAAGCCAGATGTGCCTTCATGAACAAACACAGAAAAAATTTAACAAAGGCACTGGTACAAAAAATCAAAATGACAAATCATTTACAATCTACGAAATGTTTACATGCATAACCAGGGAATTATACAAGTTGATCCAAAATGCTATCTGGGCATTGGTCTCTATCTTACAGACATTAACTTTTTCCAACTGCTCTACAAGAAGTCTGAAATGTCAGAAGATCAAACAATTAATTGCATGAGAAGATACGTAAAGTCTAGTAATTCCTTTGTAGAAGAGTTACACTAGGAACAAAAAATGAGGATAGCATTGGTGCACTCTCCTCCCATGCATGCACTTTCCTTACTAGTAAATCTCATCATCACCATCCCACATATGCTTCCAAATAAGGAAAATACAAGGAATGTGTATATTTAATGTATAAGCAAGATATAATAACAAAATTTACAGCTTCTCCATGTTTTAAAGCTTATTCTAATCACTTCCCCCTCTTTATAACCAGCAAAACAGAAAAAAAATGTTGTGCTTAATTAAAAGACTTCACACCTAATCTTCAAGTCCAAATAAAAATAGAAATATTCTCTAATCGATAGTGAAAGAAAAAATTTACTGAAACAAGAACGATCAATATGAGTTACCCATAACCCTAGCAGTATGTGTTGCAACAGGATCAAGATCAGATTAATGCCATTAGCCAACATTGAATGAAAATCTCATTTGACTAGAACATCAAGGTCAAACATGATGCAGCAACTATCGAATAAATGTTTAATGCTCAAAACTTCAGACGGAAGATAAGTTCGATTTTCTTGTACAACAGATTTCCGATTATCTCGTCTTTTAGTTGCATGGTGGATTTTCTGCACTTCTGCAGGGAAAGACATCTGCCCTCAAACATATGGCTAGGAATACACATTATTAAATGGATAGTAAAGCTCTGATCAAAATGACAGTACAAAGTAATCCAAAAATAAGGGGGAAAAAAAAGCATTCTTGGAATAGCTTCAACTGACCCATTGAAGTTGTACTGTTGGACTCAGAAAATGCATATTATCAACCTCTTGCCAACCTTTACAAACAGCACTTCAGTTAGAAGGATAAAAATTGGTTAACTTGTGTACATGGCCGTTCATCTAGAACTAGTTGCACCAATGTCATTAAAGTTTTTCTTGGCCTAGAGTGTACCCACCCCGTTGGTGTTCTGGATTTTTACTGTAGTATTAGTGACTTAAGATAGGTTCCAGTATTGAGGACAGCAGCATCAGAGGAGCATTTTCTTTGGACAAAACGAATTTCATGATGGGCCTTACAAGCATATGCTATGCATCATCAGCAACCAACAGCAAAATTATTGTCACCTAGTAATAATTTTACACAATTTCATAGTTTTGCAGCAGTAGTGAATTGTATCGAGCTATTTAAAGATACGCCATTCAATATCTCAAATTTATGAAATGAAAGATCTTTCACATTCCTTTTTGAGATAATAAAAACCAACCTATAGTTGTTGATGGCATAAGACGCACGGGAGAAGTTATTCTTATCTGTTGATATCCATGATATTTCAACTGCAGATTTGGCCAACCATTCTTTCTTCTTCCCAACGCCTTGCTGTGGAAGTATAGTGGGTGACTTTGTCAAAAACTGTGATTTGTTTTGTTCCATATTGGCTGATGATGTGCTACAGAGCCAACAGTAAACAGATGCCATACTCCTAACCATTTCCTCTGACAGCCTACTCGGACATTGGTAGAGATGATCCTTCAGAGTCCGAGATGCAGAAGTTTTACTTGCATTTGGTGCCTGTTCCTGAATCCATAACAAATTTTTATGATGAGATACTTCTAATCAATGTACCAAAATTATTTTTTGGTAGTAATTTACAAGCACGATAAAGTGCTTCGAAGATGTAGTGATTTAATTGTTGAAACACATTCTTTCCACAGCGTTTCAAGACAATCTCTAGATAGTATAACTTAGTCTTTTCAAATTATTTTTAGTTATTGAACCTAAGTGGAGTCATCACATCTCTTATAATAGATGAAAGGGGTCAACGCAACCAATACGGTTTTACTACAGATCTGATCCTTTTTTGTGACCCAACATGATCTAATATATACTGCAATGGAGACAAGGCATATTGTAACGGTATGTAGTCAAAAGTGCAAAAAAGTAATCAATACTGTTAGTAATGAATGTATAATTGTGCACAATTTCAGATGTCATTGGTCATTAGAGAGAACTTTATGAATTAACCACCTACAGCTTTCATTAAGCTTGAATTATTGAGAAACCAAAGCCACGTTTTTATGGTCAACTTAACCAATTATGAAAATGAAACTCATAAATCCATCTATTTTCAATTATCAGAATTTGGGGAGGCCAAATGTTTGTCTTTAAGGTACATCATCCCTATCCCTTGCATGGTTATCCAGTGTCTGCAAGTGTCATTGCGACCAAAGGTAATACCTCCTTTATGAGCAAAGCATTTTCAGACAGGAAAGGGACCTGACTGCTTTTTTTAGAGATTTTGGCACCATTGAAAATTCTTTCAACACCTATAGCTGCTATTTAAACAGTTAAGGATGGTTCTGTTTGTGTGGATCTCTTTATGAATGAAAGGCGGAGCCTTGGGTTGGGAGTAACCACCAGTGGTAGGGTAAAAGTTCAGGCGAAGGACAACCAACCAATTGCTAGTCTCCAGAATCAATATCAGGAAGCAAAACTGGAAGGAGGAAATCAAACAGTGAAGCGGAGCAAAAGCATCAACATGATAAAGAAATAAATAATCAAAGCAACTAAATGTGAAAGAATGTTACCGTAGCAGATAATTACTGTGGTTGTGCATTAAAATAAGAAAAATGACTAGTAAAAAACCAAGCGACAGCAAGAAAAGATAAGAAAAACGAGAAAAGGGAACACACAAGAAAAACTGAAAAGGAAGTACAGATTTTTTTTGGGGGGGGGAGGGGGTGATGGGAAGTAAAGAAATGGTCTCATTCGAAAATTCACAGTTTCTAACCTTACAATGGTAACAGAGAATCACAATGAATTCTTATTTAGAAGACTTAATACGAAAAACTAAACTACAACAATCAAAATACAAAAATTGAAAGATAAGAAGAATTAAATGATAGGATCAAGAGAAAAACAAAAAAGTTCAAACCTGAACTTACTTTGATTGAATTCTTTATCCAAATCCTTCCTTTATCAACCAGCATACAATCAAAAACTATCCAGTTAAGAACCTCCATACTCAACAAGAAACATAACCAGTTCTTACATCTCAACAATCAATTCAAATTAGTCATGATCATGAAATCTCAGAAACATCCAGTGAAACTAAAATTTGAACATGGATTGTCCACTAAGGATATATTTATTGGAAGTATTCCAAATAAATGAAATCCGGCTTCTCCTATTAATCTTATCGGGTAAATTAGGTAATGACATGTAGACATTATTTATGTTTGGATCAATTTTGTTCTCTCCAAAGGCCATTATAATGTTATATGATATAATCCTTAAATTTCAACCGACCATCAGGGGGAATATGCTTTCCAACCAGATCCAACTTGAAACCAACCATTCATGACATCTGAGACTAACTTCTGAAATATAAAAATTTAAAAATTGAAATTATCAAAATGATACATTTAGTGAAAACCTTAAGATGCCAAATTAAGCTCAGATATCAAGACACTGTTCAGGAAACAAAAAATTACACATGCTGCAACAGTTGAAAGTTCAAGAGAAGTTGCATTTACGGAGAGGGGAAAAGTAATATAAACATTATAATGTATTAGTGTACCTTAACATGGTTGGAACAACTTTTCTCTAAATGGACGTTATCTTTACCATTAAGGAGTGAAGTGTGTCTTGTTTTAGACTGCAACGAACTTTTTTTCGCTGAGTTACTTATAGTAGCCAGAGAGTGGAAAGTCTGCAGTGGGAACTTTATGGAGGAACAGAAGGCACTTGTAATTATACTTGGGTGTTTCCTGGATTCATTCTTTACATGTGCTGGAGAAGTCACAACTGAGCTATGCTCAGAAGTTGTCCGGCTAACACAATTTTCAAAGATGCTCCTGTATAATGAGAGAACATGCTGTTCACGGTTTGCAACCTCTTCTTCGAGCAATTCAATTTCAGCAATCAACTCTTTCGTCTGATAGTTGCAAGAAAAGAGGTTTTCATTATCTGCTGGTTACTGAATTTGAGACATGAATAAAAATAAAACGAAGGCTATCACAGTTTCTAACCTTATAATGGTAACAGAGAATCACAATGAATTCTTATTTAGAAGACTTGATACGAAAAACTAAACTACAACAATCAAAATCCAAAAATTGAAAGATAAGAAGAATTAAATGATAGGATCAAGAGAAAAACAAAAAAGTTCAAACCTGGACTTACTTTGATTGAATTCTTTATCCAAATCCTTCCTTTATCAACCAGCATACAATCAAAAACTATCCAGTTAAGAACCTCCATACTCAACAAGAAACATAACCAGTTCTTACATCTCAACAATCAATTCAAATTAGTCATGATCATGAAATCTCAGAAACATCCAGTGAAACTAAAATTTGAACATGGATTGTCCACTAAGGATATATTTATTGGAAGTATTCCAAATAAATGAAATCCGGCTTCTCCTATTAATCTTATCGGGTAAATTAGTAATGACATGTAGACATTATTTATGTTTGGATCAATTTTGTTCTCTCCAAAGGCCATTATAATGTTATATGATATAATCCTTAAATTTCAACCGACCATCAGGGGGAATATGCTTTCCAACCAGATCCAACTTGAAACCAACCATTCATGACATCTGAGACTAACTTCTGAAATATAAAAATTTAAAAATTGAAATTATCAAAATGATACATTTAGTGAAAACCTTAAGATGCCAAATTAAGCTCAGATATCAAGACACTGTTCAGGAAACAAAAAATTACATATGCTGCAACAGTTGAAAGTTCAAGAGAAGTTGCATTTACGGAGAGGGGAAAAGTAATATAAACATTATAATGTATTAGTGTACCTTAACATGGTTGGAACAACTTTTCTCTAAATGGACGTTATCTTTACCATTAAGGAGTGAAGTGTGTCTTGTTTTAGACTGCAACGAACTTTTTTTCGCTGAGTTACTTATAGTAGCCAGAGAGTGGAAAGTCTGCAGTGGGAACTTTATGGAGGAACAGAAGGCACTTGTAATTATACTTGGGTGTTTCCTGGATTCATTCTTTACATGTGCTGGAGAAGTCACAACTGAGCTATGCTCAGAAGTTGTCCGGCTAACACAATTTTCAAAGATGCTCCTGTATAATGAGAGAACATGCTGTTCACGGTTTGCAACCTCTTCTTCGAGCAATTCAATTTCAGCAATCAACTCTTTCGTCTGATAGTTGCAAGAAAAGAGGTTTTCATTATCTGCTGGTTACTGAATTTGAGACATGAATAAAAATAAAACGAAGGCTATAACAGAACTTTTGTCAGTGTCGAAAATCGGATGAAAAGCTTAGTGAAAGTGTTCAAACGCAAAGGTTCCAGAGACTCTGTTGTCAAACAGTTAAGAAAAATCAGATGTAGTAGAATATGAAAGTATCTGTTTTAATAGATTTTTAGTTGGATCACATGCATACTTGACGTCCCCAACTAATAATATATGATGTTGCACAATAACCAGCACTCAGAGTTCATAGGCAAAGAACAAATTTATTACTGTAGCATTGTAAGAACTAATATCAGATCTCTGAACCACGCTACTAAGAAGGATATATAGCACACATGAAAATCAGCTTGGATTCATTTCAAATATCAGGGATTGTTGCTAACTTCTGCGCAAAATGCCTAAATAATAACCGCTCCACGAGTCTCAAATTGAATTGCCTAGTTTGACCAGTCTGTACATGTTGATCCTTTATGTATAACTTCAATTGTTAACTGTGAAATCGAGGGGGAAACATCTTTTGTATACTGAACTAACTTAACTAATTTAAAATGGTCAGTAATGCATACTACCTAGGAAGGGTTCGTTTTATCTTAAGATATTATTTTCCTACACAGGAAGACACTTGATCATTCGGAGAGGAACCACAAGTTGATTCCCATTAATTTTTGAAAAAAAAAAAAAAAACTCTCAGGCTCAGCTTACCTGAGCAGCAAAATGACGATGTCCAGGAGAGAGCGTACTAGAAGCTCTACCCATTGCCTTGTCGAGTAACATGCGCATGGACTTCTCCTGCTGCAACTGCGATTGTAATTGCTCAATCTGCAAACGTTGTTCATTACTGCTGAAGTGAATTGTTTTTACTTGGATAGTCAAGCTGTCTCAGAGACATGCTTACCCAGTTATAGATGCATGTAACTGTACTAAACTCACTTTCAATAAATGATTTATAGGTATACATAATTATTCAGCATGTGGTACATATTTTTTACAAGGATAAAGAATGTAAACCGAAATGGATTTTGACCCTAATATACAGCCATGGATGTTCTTCTTTTTGTTTACAAATACAAAGAACAACCTAGAGGACACAAACTCGATGCACTTATATGTATTGAAAGCTAGAATTTGATTGCATCAATTTTTTGTACAGGTCAAAGCGTATCCAATTAGTGAGAGTTCTTTTAACATTAGAAAGACTTAGATAGAATGTCAATCTGATTTATCTGATTACATATTTAGAATGCCTGGAATATTGTGGACCAAACTGATACCCCTTCACCAATCCCATCTGGTTACAATCTTGTGAACAGTTAACTGCTTGGTTTATTGTGACAATTGCAATTAAGAGACCATTAGTACTAGGAAACTCAAACCTTTTAACTGTGAAGGGAAGGTGGAGGACAAAGAGATGAAAGACAAATCGCATAGCTATACAACAACTAATCAAGATTCCATATTTTCGAACCAGAGGGGTTTGGCAGCAGAATTAGTGAAATTTAGTTCCAAAGCCGTTTTCCATCATAATGGACCCTGAAATTATATAAGAGATGTCATGGTGTTCCAAACTTTTGCTGTTGCACTTTCCAACTAATTCATGATGATGGAGTACAAAAATCTAATATCGAAGATTGAACAGTCTAGAGGGAGACAATAAGTGTAAAGAGATTAAACCTTCAAGATTAGTTGTGCCATTTAATTCTGTCATAGTGCAGTATCTTATACTGATTTCCATGAATGACGAAATAAACGTAAGTAGGAAAAAGGTTTAGAGTGACCAAATATTCTCACATCTTTTTCCAAGGAGGCCCTATGATTAGATATATCATCTGTCTTGACACTAAATGATTTTTCTTGAAGTGGGCTAGCTCTGGCATTATTTTTAGGAGCTGCCAAGCCCTGTAGATTCAAAGATTAGTCAAATTCATCAATTAGCAATCACTTTCAACACACTATGAAATTGCTGGTCTCTTCTGGCGTAAGAATTTACAATGCTTACATGCGATTGATTGAAGTCCTTCTGTGTGCAGTGAGAATCTCTGAATCTTGTAAGGTTTAAGTTTCTCTCAGAAGCACTGCAAACATGGTCAACAAAGACATCTTCTCATCTAATAAATTAAGGCACCTTAATGTAGCAATTCTAGAAAACTAAAGAAATGGAAGAACATGGTAAGCAAACAGAAGAGTATAAAGCAAATGAAAAGCACAACTGAAGAGCTTAGCTTTAGCATATATCCTTCAAAAATCTGTATCATTAAACTCAGCCGTGATTGAGGAAACCTATCAGATTCATCATGCACAATGCACCAAACGCTGACTTCTTCACATGAGCAGTTTATGAACGTTTACGTTTGAGTTAAAGCCTCCAATTAATATTAATACTTCAAAACCTATAGCCCTTGAAAGATGATAAAGATGGCCATTATCTATTTGGCATTGTAGCGTTGTAGTTATGGAATTGAAATTCTGTAAAAATTAATTCAAATCTCAATATACACATATCTAGTTCCAATTCTAAGACTCAATTCCGTTCAACCAAAAGTAGTCTGTTTGAAAAGTACATTAACCCATATCTTTCTCAAAAGAAAGAAAATTGGGACTGACGGAATATCCTCTGGAAGAAATATTCAATCTATGACTTCTCAATAGTTCTTTTGCATTAAAATCAAACAGACAAAAATATAAGATATCAAATCTTTGGACCAGAAAGAATCGGTATCACAGTAATCTCAGGGTTGGCACAAAAAGAACAGATTTTTGAAATTCTTTATTTTCATTCAACATTTCAAAATAATATTATTCTCCAAATACAAAAACACCACAATCTAAGCCTACTTTCAAGATAAATTTGGGGTTGGCTGTTAATTTGATCCAAATAAACATAAGATATGGATAACAACAACCAAGAAAAACTAAAAGATAACTGATAAATGACAGAAGAGTCTCAAATATGGACTTCAAATGCAAACCTAAAATTAAAAGGGTTCAAGACAAACCTTTTCGAACGCCTATGCTGGACATAACCATGTGTAGATGCCGAAGAATTCCCATTTTCTCTCTCCTTCTCCTCTTCTGCAATTGAAACATTCCTTTTTCTTACTCTCCTGGACATATTTAAAACTTTAATTGTATCACATTCTACTTGCATCAACTACATCCAATCCAAGAATAGGCAGGCATTAGGATATATATAAATATGCATCGACCATGGTTTTTGTTAAATGATGAATACACCTGACAAAGATTATGATGGCAAAGAACTAAAGGAATGAATGAATGAACAAAAGAAAGAATGAGATTCTCTTCTTAAATTGGGTGATATTAAAGTTTTTTACAAAGAAATAGAACACGAGGGGTTTGTAGAAAGAGTGCGAAGAAGTGTATATTAAAGAAAAAATGCAGAAAGCACTTGCCTCAAAAAGACGGGACCAGAGCTAGCTGCCTAGAATTCAATTGGATTGCTTCAGCGTCGTTGAGAGCATTCAATAAGATCATTAACTTCACCTACCTGCCAGTCTTCACACAGTTACACATTCTCTACGTGTGTATATTATTTGAACTCTTCCTCTTTATGAATTGTGGACCACAGGTTTTTGAGTATAAATTCAAAGAATTAAATAAAATCACTTGCAATTTGTAACAATCACTTACACTTTGAAAGTAATTCCTCCGCCTGAAGGCGTTTTGTTAAGAGAAGGAATCCACGACCTCATTTCGTGAAACAGGGATGACGACTAGTTTGCTAAGCCAAACCTTTCTCAAGCAAAGAAGAATACAATTAAATTTAAATGGTTACATGATTGCAACAATAAATATCACAACAGATTGACCCATGTTTAGATGCTTATGATATAGAGTTTGCTGAAAATAAACAAAATTATTCGCGGGATGCTGCGAAAATATCCAATTATTCATTCGATACATGTAAGAAGGATAATTCGCGTAATAATGATTTGAACGTATTATTGAACAGCTGAAAAATCATCAATTATAAATACCTGAAGTGATTATGATGTTTCCTGGCTTATGATGAAGGAGAACTTTTGAAATGAAATGGATCATTGGATTCAAGTGCAGGTCCCATAGTCGAAATAAATTGCATGTCGAGATGTGTGGCAACTTACAATAGGAAAATTTTTAATTTTAATGACAGACTGTCAAGTGAATGATTCTTGTACAATCTAATGAATTTTTACATAAGTTTCTATGTACTTCTATTTAGAGGCTTTTATAGAATTCATATTTTACTTCTACACACTTTTATTTTAGAAAAAAAAAAATTATATATGAAGTTATATAGCAGATGTTTGTTATATTTAATTATATATTTGTGTACTATGTTACAGTATTCTAAACCACTGCTCACTTGACCAAATTAGGGAAAGATTTAGACAATTTCGATTAGGGAGTCACGATCAAAATTTCAAACGATAGCTAAATCGTAAATAGTAATGACAGCATGTAGTCGACAGATTTGAAGAGAGAGAGAGAGGCACAAAATTTAGTTCGGAGCTGCCAATTGCATAATATATTTAAAGTGTAGATTTTGAACTTTGACATTCTAAAAAAAAAAGGTAGAAATGCCATAATAATTTCACATGTCAATAAAAATATCTGCAAAAGAATATAATTACAAATTAATATATTCGAACTTGGAGAAAGTTATTAAATTAAATAAGCAATGAATCTGTGAATATTTAATTACAAATTAATTTTTTTTTTAATTTTAATCAATTTGAGGAAACGATGAAAAAGAAGAGAATGGATTTTTATTTTACAAATTGATCGTGTTTCAATAAAAAAGGAAAAAGAATAAAAGAAAAAAGTGAAAAAAGGAAAGGAGAATAATAATAATGACTGCTTGAAAAGAGAGAAAATCATAGTTCCCTTTTTTATTTTATTTATTGATTTATTTATTTTTTATTTTTTTTGGGTATCATAGCTCTAGAATTTGAAGAATAAAACAGAAAAGATAAACATTGAAAAAAGAAAAATATTACATATTGGAAGATATATTTTTTTTTCTTTTTCTTTTTTGAAAGTTTTTTATTGGGGTGAATGAGATACTTTTGATTAAATTTTGTATTTGTATTTTTTCTAGGGTATAAAACTCTCGAACTGAATCGGGCCAAAACCAAATTGAATCGAACCGATTGGTTTTTCTTAAATAAAATATCTGAATGGGTATCTAAATCAAGAATCGCCGGGTTTGGTTGGATTCTCAGTTCTAAATTAATAATTGAATAATCGAATCTCCATTATTTTTTTAATTTATTCATTTTAAATAAACCACATGTATTTTATTTTTTTTTAAATAAATTTTTTAACTAGTTAATTTAGTTGAAACCCCAAAATATAAGTTCACTATTTCTAATTTTCAATCTAAACCCAATTTAATCAAATTAATCTAAGTTTTACCCAAATCTGTTATTCTATCACAGTACCATTTTCTATCGTTATGGAGAAATTGAATTAAAGCTCAACTGATCATCTCTTACTTATTGTAATGTCACATTGTCCTCTTCTTGCGATTTTAACAATCAAATTCATGAAAACTCAGTAAAAAAAGACACAAAAGGCATATAAGATGGAATTACATTATTTTGTAAAAGTTAAGATTGAACATACATTAGTTGAATTAATGTAGTTTTGTAAATTTTAAAAAAATAATTATAGTACAAAACTTGGGAACCGAATGGAACTAAATCGAATAGAATCGAACTCGAACGGTTTCATAATTAAATTTGGACCCAACGGTTTCACTTACTAAATACTAAAATTAAGGGTTAAGTTTGATTCTCATTAGAATTTAACCGAATCAGGCCATGCAAACCACTAATTTTTTCACTAAAATTTAACACATGAAAGATTGTATAAAAATCATTAAAAGTGATTAAAATTATCAAAAGTCTTGTTTTAATGCCCTGGGACTTTTTAAGTACTTTCAAAAAGTCTATAAAAATTTAGAACGCTACTACATGAACAGGCTTAGCGATAGAATTTAAAATGGGGGGACACGTGTCATTTTTTTCATTGAACAGTTAGAGGGAAAAATAATTATAAAAAATAAAAAAAGCCAGACAATTGTTGTATGCCAAACCCTATTTTTTTCCCCCGATTAAGGCCCGTTTGGTAGCCATTTCTTTTCAAAATATATTTTTCTCTCTCTTCTTTTTGACCACACATTTTTTATTAAAATAATATTGCACATAAATAAAAAAAATTTCCTTATTTTTTAACCACACATTTCACATCAATTTACTATTCTAAAATGAATTTTTACATAAAAATGCCTATCAAACATCCCTTAAGTAAAAATCTATTGGATACTCCAAGATTTTTGGAGTCTCAAAGAATCTTGAATAAATATACACAAACATTTTCATGCTAATTTTCAATCACACATTTACACAATAAAATATTTTATATGTAAATTCTTTATTTTTCTTACTTTTTAACCACACATTTTTCAAAAAAAAAAAAAAAACTACTCAAAACTATATTTTTAAAAATTTTAAGGTCACCAAACAGGGGATAAATTGAATACAGACAAAAAGGGATTATACCCTTAATTGACAACGATTATTTGAAGAAAAAAATTGAAAATAATGGTTGTCAAATAGGGGCTATATGTTTGTTTAGAAAAAATTATGAAAAAGATGATTAATGAATCCTATGAAACACATTAATGATAAATTGACAGTAACTGTGAAAGTAGTATTAAAATTAATATTTTATTTTGATTTGAAGTTATAAGAAAACTATAATCAGACACAAACCTACTCCATTTTGTGCATGTTTCGGCTAAGCTTTAAAATGTACCCTTGAGCACTGTTCTAAAAGGTGCAAATTGGCGACACGATGCACGGCAAAAAAGTCAAGCCAAGTGGCTTGACACCTTATTTAATGGTCAACAACAATCGTTGATCACTAATGCACGCCTAGACTCATTTATGGGCATCTAGACGCGCATAATTATCTTCTTTTTTAAAAAAAAATTTTCTTCTAAGTTGAAACTTAAATGTTGATTTCTTCACTTCGTCGGTTCAAAATTCAAAATAGTCGTTTGAAGTCTTGAAAAAAGGAAATCTTCCAAAAATTCTTATTTATTTACTATTTAATATTTACATTTAAAATTTATCTTTTTGTTGAAAACTTTGGAAAAATGTATAAATTTTCTATAAATTTGTTTTAGATATTTGGCAAATATTATTTTTAATTATTAAACGATTTTTCGATTGATTAAAAATTAAAATAAGAAACCCCCTTTTTAATGTCTATGCCTCGTCTAAGCTTGCTTAACCCATAGCTTGGCTTCCACGCATCACCATGCATTACACTTTATAGAACACTGCTCTTAAGTCTTAATTGGTGTGTCATGTCATTGATGCTTAACATAACTTAAGCATCGGTGCTAATTAGATCATATATACACACACACATGCACACACAAATTTTTATATAATTTGAACCGTTTACCGAACTCTTCAATTTCATGAAGTACATTTAAGTTTGATGTATACAATATAATGTCTCTGAGTTAATTAAATGAGTACTATTGAACTTTACTCATGATTACTATTTGCTCACTAAAAATTAAATAATTACTCACTAATGAATCTATTCATTAATTTATCCAATACTCACCATAGCTAATTTTGTCTATACAGCTAGACAAATATGTCTAATGAAAAAATGAAGTAGCAACACACAATATTAGTGGACGACACGGAGGATAAAAATACATTTTATTTATTAACAATTTTAATTCATTTAACAGAAACGTTTTTCTAGCTTCTTTATTTTGAAACAAAAGACCTCCAATTCACATGCTGTAACTTCAAAATCATAAATCCCCAGATGAAACCTAACCCTAGGAACAACAAATGTATGGAGAAATTCTTACCTATGGACAAATTCTGGCTTCTCCATTTCTGATTTAAATGTTTTCTTTTTCGAGTCTCCTATTATCTTGCTCTTTCCCTCTAACCCAAAAAAAATCATGGAGAAATTTTTACGTATGGCTCTTATTCTTTGAGGTTATTGACATTTCTAATTATATCTTTCTCATAGGAAATTTTAACCTTCAAATAGATCATAGCTGTGCTGCTGCTGAAGGATTTCACTCTTATTCCAAACTGGATTCATGAATTTTATTAAGGATCTTACCTCATCCCATATTGGATTTATGAATTTCCTAAGGACATTTATGCTCTACATTTCTAGCTCGTATTTGAATCTAAAATTCCTTGTGACATGGGAAGTAAAGAAGCAGAGATTATAGGCACGGAAAAAATCACTCCCTTTTGTGGGGACAATTTCTTATCTTGATCCTTCCCATATATGAATAACAAAACTCAGCCAAAGGCCCCCAGGGCATATCTTC